TAAACAAAAACAACCCCCCAAAACCCACCACTCTGTCCAGCCACTCCTGTAGCCAGGCATCAGCGTTGTCCAGGTCGGCGCCCTCTGGGCTACACTCCGCCTCGTAGTAGTGCAGAATGTCCTGTACCGTGCACCACACCGCCTGGGGCACGCCCAGACCGAACTTCTCCATCACGGAGGGACACACGGACAGACGGACAGACGGATGGACGGACAGACGGACGGACGGACGGACGGACAGACAGACAGACGGACAGACAGACGAACAGACTGACGGACGGACAGATGGACGGATGGACGGATGAACAGACAGATGGACGGACGGATGGAGGCTTCTTCCGCTTCTTCTTTATCCTTTCTCTTCTTTTTATCCAGTTTCAGCTCACAAGTTTTTCAAGAATACCGCCATAACAATGTCATGGCCTCTGAAGCCAAGTACTTTTTCAGGAATGCCATCAAAACAATGTCATAGATTCTGAAGCCAAGCAGAAACCCTTTCTTCTCTTTCTTCTCTCTATCCAGTTTCTGCACACAACTTTTTCAAGAATACCTTCAAAACAATGCCATGGATTCTGAAGTCAGGTAGAGACCATTTCTTTTCTTCTCTTTCTTCTCTCTATCCAGTTTCGGCACACCACTTTTTCAAGAATACCTTCAAAACAATGCCATGGATTCTGAAGTCAGGTAGAGGCCATTTCTTTTCTTCTCTTTCTTCTCTCTATCCAGTGTCGGCACACCACTTTTTCATGAATACAGTTTAAAACAACTCCATGAATTCTGAAGCCAAGTAGAGACCCTTTCTTTCTTCCCTTTCTTCTCCTTCTCTCTATCCAGTATTTGCACACAACTTTTTCATGAACACCGTCAAAACAACTCCATGAATTCTGAAGCCAAGTAGACACCCTTTCTTTCTTCTATCCAAACCACCCACTGGAAAACATGCTGGGGAAAAGTACAACAAAAATAGAAGCAACACAGGGAAAGAAAAGAAGTAGGATCAGACAGCAAAAATTCCTCCCACTTTCTCCAAGCAATGGCAGAGAGAGGGCCTAATCAACCACACAAGAGGCCACTGGCCTTGACACTTCCCTACTCACCATAAAGTCGTCTGGCTGTATACCGAACAAGTCCCGAAAGTACCGGAAGGCCACGGGGGCGTAAGTCTTGAAGCGAAAGTCACTGTAGTGATGTGCTGGCGTCAGGTTGCTGCCTTCACTGTTGGAGGGACGGGAACAGAGATTAGCTGTGTTTTTTAGTTTTAGTAAGAGTTTTGTTTGTTTTAGTAGAAGTTTTAGTTTTAGTAGAGCTTTTACGACGCTCGCAACTGCATAAGGTCATATAAACATCAGAAGATTAGAGGTCCTAGAAGAGAGTAACAATTACGGCATTCGCAACTGCATAAGGTCATATGAGCGTCAGAAGATTAGAGGTGCTACAAGAGAGTAACAAACATAAAAAAGAAGAAGGGGAGATAAGGACGATAGATGTTTCATAGGAAAGAAGAAGCAAACCACACCAGAGCACCCGCAGAGCACCCACAACTAATCTCAACGAGCCCGCAGTACCCACCTGGGAAAGAAGACGACCTCGACGACCCCAAAGTCCTGCATGAGCACGTCCCTCTCTGGCTTGGAAGACAGTCCGCCCACGCTCTGACCAATGCCCAGCTGGATGGCCGCCATCAACTCCGACGTCGGTTTCTGTTTGCCGGGGAAAAAGAAGAAACAAAGGTGACATTGATTAGATGGTTCAATATTTCACGCCTCAATCGAGACAATTTGCACTGTTCCCCAAGCAGGCTGCTTGAACCCGAGAAGGTCCCCCCCCTCTAGAGTCGTTCCGTGTTGGGTCTGCCGGAGGTAACAACAGTTGTAAAGCGCATAGAACATGCTGTAGAGTGTAGATATGCACTTTTTCGAATAAATTTATCGTTATCATGACCATGTCTGCAAGAGCCAAAACCAGAACACCTCCCCCCCAAAAAAAAACCAACAACCCCTTTAAAAAAAATTAAAAAGAAAAAAACCTCACCACTCAGTCACTCACTGGCTACAAGAAAAAAAAAATCACTGTCCA